ATCTGCTTTGACAGCTCGGTCACATTGGATTGAGCGGCAAATCCACGGCAGCTGCGTCACAGAGCAGCCTGTCCTTGCGAACACACACATCCTGCCTTCCCATCAGCCCCTGCGCGCGGTCACAGCAGCAGCACAGAGATGACATGCAGTCATGTATTTATTTATTCAGTTATTCGGCATACAGAAGCACACGTGACGCGCCGGAGCATCACGTGACCCGCCGGAGGATGGAGAAGGAGAGGAGGCTCTCAAGGTTAAACAGGCGGAGGCGGGGCTCGCAGGAGGGTGTAGCCTGAGTGTCACGTGACCCGCGGGAGCGCTGCCTGATGGAGAGAAGATGAGCTGAGCATCACAGCATCCTCACATCAGCGAAAACCACAGACCAGGAGCAAAGCACTGACATGAGCTCACAAACACTCAACTGAATTTCGTGACCTTTCCTTTTAAACGCAGTTGCCGGATATTGGAAAAACATTAATAAATAAACAGATAAACAGATATAAATATATATATATACATGATCCACTTTCAGACTGTTCTTTAAAACAGCTCGCATAAGTGAATATATTAGGTTAGAAACATGATTAATATTAGGATGAGTTTATTAAGATTAACACAGACACGTGTTTCATCACTCATCAATGCTTCTTTTGTTAAAAACTGCTGGGTTATTTCAATCCAAATAATGGAGAAAACCAACGCTTGAGCTTGTCCATATTTTACCCAGATTTGAGTTCAAATAACCCAGCAGAGGGTTGTTTACAAAGTAGACTGTTATTAAATCAGCTTCATTATGTTCCGTCAGCTTAGTCCCCTATTACTGAGGGGTCACCACAGCGGAATGAACCGCCAACTATTCCAGCATATGTTTTACACAGCGGATGCCCTTTCAGCTGCAACCCAGTACTGGAAAACATTCATACACACCCATTCACGCAAAAACACACACACACACACACACACACACACACACACACACACACCGTGACCAATGAGTTTTAGCCATTCTCCTCATAACTGCATCATCATCACCATTTTCATCATCTTCATCATCATCAATATCTTCTTCATGTCCTTCATCATCACCATCATCTTCACTATCTTCATCCTCATCATTATCATCATCATTGTCATCATCTTCATCATCATCATCATCATCATCATCATCACATCTTCATCATCACCACCATCATCTTCATCATCGTCATCATCATCGTCATCATCATCTCATCTTCATCATCATCCTCATCATCATTGTCATCATCTCATCATCATCATCACGAACATCATCTTCATCATCATCATCATCTTCATCATCCTCATCATCATTGTCATCATCTCATCAACATCATCTTCACCAACACCATCATCATCGTCATCATCTTCATCATCATCATCTCATCTTCATCATCATCTCATCTTCATCATCATCCTCATCATCATTGTCATCATCTCATCATCATCATCTTCATCATCATCCTCATCATCATTGTCATCATCTCATCATCATCATCATCATCATCTTCATCATCATCCTCATCATCATTGTCATCATCACCAACATCATCATCATCATCATCATCATCATCATCATCATCATCTTCATCATCATCATCTTCATCATTATCTTCATCATCAGCGTCATCATCATCATCTTCATCATCATCATCACCATCATCATCACCATCATCATCATCTTCATCATCATCTTCATCATCATCCTCATCATCATTGTCATCATCTCATCATCATCATCACCATCATCATCATCACCATCATCATCATCAGCATCATCATCATCATCGTCATCTTCTTCATCATCTTCATCATCATCTTCATCATCATCCTCATCATCATTGTCATCATCTCATCATCATCATCATCATCATCATCTTCATCATCTTCATCATCATCTTCGTCATCTTCATCATCATCTTCATCATCATCCTCATCATCATTGTCATCATCTCATCATCATCATCACCATCATCGTCAGCAGCATCATCATCATCGTCATCTTCTTCATCATCTTCATCATCATCTTCATCATCATCTTCATCAGGGGTGAGGAAGGAAACTATGTTAATCATGTTTATAGTGATGTATTTTGAGTTGTGTCAGCTGCTTTACGTCACACTTTAAAAATCTGCTGGGCTGTCGTATGACCCAGCACTGGACAAACACAGCCTAAATGTTGTTTATAGTTTCAACAAAGTAAATACACTTCAACTTAAACATTTCAGGAAACCACACTGTAAACATGTATTGGGTTATTTATACCCAATTTTGGTTAAAATATGGACAAAACCAACCACTGGGGGCATTTTGGAGTTAAATTTATCAGTCCAAATTTAACTGAACATTTGGGTTTGTCCATATTTGACCCAAATTGGGTTGAAATGAGCCAGTATTTTTACAGAGTGGTTTCATTAAATTGTGTGAGTGAATCAGATTGACTTTGTGAATTAAAGTGCTCTTTAAAATGCTGAATGTTGGGTCAAATATGGACACATCCAGCATTGGGTTCTTTTTTTTCTAATAAATATAAACTTCACTTATCACCCCAGTGGTTAGGTCTGTTCAGAGTGTGGGGTGTTTATTATTTCAGACAGCCGCTGCATGGGATCATGTTAGGAGTTAAATTTATAATACCCAGTTAAACGTATATTAACATATGAAGAGTTCAGATGCAGTGCCGTCTGAAATATTAATCTAAAATAAGCATGTTTCTCAGCCTCCAATATTTCTCTTCAACTATTCCACTGTAAAAGCAATGCAAAGGACATATCTTTGACATAAAAGTGGATCTACTGAACATACACACAGGAGCTTGAGGAAAAAGCTTATTTTAGAAGATTTCAGATGGTGTTTCGAGGTTTTTGCATCTGAACTCTTCATATTTACGTTTGCCTTTCCTTCTGTAATTCTAGAATAAATCATTTTCTGCTCTTCAGACAGTGCTGTACATGAGCATGTGTGTAATGTGGAAGTAGACTAAGAATATTTGTCTACATGCTTGTTCAAACTACTTATTTAAAATGAGTTGAAACAACACAACTCTTTGAGGGACAGCTTGATTGTTTTATGTTTAATCCAACTAAATTTGTCAACTTAATTATTTTGTGTTGAGACAACGACAAGGAATTGTGTGAAATACAGTTTTATACAGTGTAAACGCACTTTAAAACCCCAAAATAAAGGTGACTCAAACCATTTAAGTAAAAAAAAACTAATCTATATGAGTTCTGTGAACTTACTCCATTTAAGATGAAGTAATTACATAATTAGTTAGCATTCAGTTGTGTGCATTCCCCTGATGAAGAACTCATTGTATATAAGTAGTTTGAACAAGCAGCATATTGGGTGATTATTGGTTGAAATAACCCAGCATTTCCTTTTCATATATTTATGCATTTTCATTCATTCATTCATTCATTCATTCATTCATTCATTCATTCATTCATTTTCTTTTCGGCTTAGTCCCTTTATTTTTCCAGGGTCGCCACAGCGGAATGAACCACCTTTATGTATATATATATGTGCATGATTAGTAATGTTTATGCAAGGCAGTTCTTGTGTCTCAACCTCAACTGTAGAATCACCTCAACAGATTAATTCAGCTACTTGACTTTAAAGCACTGTATTATTAATTAATCAAATCTAAAACCAAACTAACCCATCACAGAAGAGCAGACTCTCACACTGCTGAATAAGGTCAGTGTAGCCCAATAGTATTTATGCTAGTGTCTATGGCAGGAGTCGCCAACCGTTTTAAAACTGAGAGCTACTTTTTGGGTACCGATTAATTTGAAGGGCTGCCAGTTCGATGCACACTTAAATAACAAATTTGCTCAATTTACTTGTGAAGACACTGATCATGATTTCTCACAATAGTTGTCAACAATGATTTAACAGGGTAGGAAACAGATAAATATCAAGATGCAACATGTCATTTGTCTGAAAGTTTTTCATATACAGTATAACTTCATGTCATTTTCAGTTTTACACCAATGCAAGTGTGATTTAAAAAGTGTTTTATAGTAAAGTAAAAAAGGTAAGAATATTAGATTTTGATGCTCAGCTTTCTGGTAAACGGCACTGGTGAGCTATTATTAGAACAGGCCTGCGGGCAACTCATGTGATCCTCGCGGGCTGTCTAGTGACTCCTGGTTTATGGTATGCGCCTGGTCAGTATCTGGATGGGAGACCAGAAGTGGTGTTAGTGAGTCCAGGAGGGGGCGCTCAACCTGCGGTCTGTGTGAGTCCTAATGCCTCAGTGTAGTGACAGGGATGCTATACTGCTCAGTGAGCGCCGTCTTTCAGATGAGATGATAAACCGAGGTGCTGACTCTCTTTGGTCGTTAAAAATCCCAGGATGTCCTTGTTAAAAGAGTAGGGGTTTAACCCTGACATCCTGGCTAAATCTGGCCACTGGCCTCTGTCCATCATGACCTCCTGACCCTCCCCATATCAGAATTGGCTTCATCACTCTGTCTCCTCTCCACCAATCAGCTGCTGTGTGGTGTGTGGTCTGGTGCAGTATGGCTGCTGTTGCGTCATCCAGGTGGATGCTGCACACTGCTGGTGGATGAGGAGATCCTCCATGTGTAAAGCGCTTTGAGTGCCCAGAAAAGCACTATATAAATGGAAGGAATTATTATTATTATTATTATAATTATTATTATTATTAACAATGATAATAATAACACACAGTTATCAGTTTAAAGGTATTGTGCTGTTTTAACTACTATTAAATAAGTAATTTGAAGTGAGTCATGTTTGAGTGTGTTGAAATAACCCTGCTGAAAATTGGGTTTTACATTTTTGTAATTTGAATTTACAATTTAAAAAAAAATGCATTAATTCATGAGCAGTGATCTTTCAGGATCCTCATGCACCATCATCACCATCTTCATCCTCTTCTTCATCATCATCATCATCAGTGAGGGAGGGAGGAGACTGAGGTGATCGGTCAGACCTGTTCTCTCTCTCTCTCTCTCTCTCTCTCTCTCTCTCTCTCTCCCCGGTAGCGGCAGCGGCGGCGGCGGCAGCAGCATCTCCCGGTAATCTCTCTCTCTCTCCGGGCTCCATGCAGGCAGCAGTGTGTCGGAAACACACGACAGGCTTCCCGATGACCGAGACATGCTCGCCTTCGCCTTAGTCGCTGGCTCCGTCTGGGTTGTTTTAGGTGAGTTCTTTCTCTCTCTCCATGATTATTCTGCAGGTGAACGGAGAGCCGCCACCGGTAACGAGCTGTCGGTGCATTCTGGACTGATCAGTCCGTTTATTCGGTGCATTAAGGGCAGATCTGTCGGTGTATTCGGTGTATTCAGGGCTGATGTGTCACATTAGTGATGCTGAAGTTGCTGATTGTCGGGATTTTTCGTTATGCGGCACAAACGCCGAGCATGATGAGGGTCTGCTGCGACGCCTGCTCATGCCGGATTTTATGGTGCATTGACCGGACACATACAAACAAACAAACCAACACACACACACACAAACACACACTCTCTCGTCTGTGAAATGCTCGTGTGAGGGCCGCATTTTTGTAGGACATCTTTAAAAACGGCCCGTTTGCCGGTGTCGTGCATCAGTGCTACGCTGACGTCACTGCGCATGCGCGGAGCTGTCCAGCGGAGGGGTCCTGAAGCGTCACTGCGCACTGCTGCTGTAGGGGCCAGTGTGTGTGTGTGTGTGTGTGTGTGTGTGTGTGTGTGTGTGTGTGTGTGTGTGTGTGTGTGTGTGTGTGTTCCTCATCATCGCTGCATCAGCCTGCGGGCATACACACCTATAGGCTACAGATGTAGGCTAGCTCTCCATGCTAACACTTCTGCTGTGCCTTTGGATGAACACTGCAAAGCTTTGTGGCTCGTTTTTAGCAGAGGATTCGATTCAAGTGCACTTACATTTGAGTATATAGTGACATTCTGCCGTTTGTTTGTTAATTCATTTGGACATCATGGAATAAATACTGTGGCAGTGTGTAGTAAATACTGTAGTGTTGAATGACCTTTACTATGGTATTAAACTGTATTTACAGGACTCTGTTAATGAATTCTCCAGCATGCTTTAGTTAACTGATAACTGTAATAAATACTGCAGTATACTTTAGTTTGTACTGCAGTAAACTGGTGTATAGTAGTATAATATACCCTACAGTTGCAGAAAAATACAGCATTCACTAATCTGTTTATCACAAAAATACTGGTGTTACCATAGCAACTGTAGAATCACCACAACAGATCAATTACTATAGTAGTTGTGTTACCATAGCAACTGTAGAATCACCACAACAGATCAATTACTATAGTAGTTGTGTTACCATAGCAACTGTAGAATCACCACAACAGATCAATTACTATAGTAGTTGTGTTACCATAGCAACTGTAGAGTCACCACAGCAGATTAACTCTAGTAGTTCAACATACAGCACTGTAGTTCTTATTAATTAAATCTAAAACAAACTACACTGCAGAGAAGAGCTTACTTCCGCACTGCTGAATAAGGTCACTGTAACACTATACTATTTACTATAGTAACATGCAGTTACTGGAATCTTCAGCTTTGCACTCCTTGGATTTGACTTTTTTAAGTCTTCAGTTTTAGACATCTTGACATTCCTTACAGTGTGGCCTTCAGGTCATGCATTTTTCATGGCCGTGTGTTAGCCAGTAGCGCTGATGGTCTGCTGTCTCTGACCTGAGCCATGTGCTGCTGGTGAATAATGCAGGACGTTCGGGTTGACGAGAGACCGAGGTGAACCTAATCTTTACCCCGTCCTCCATAATTAAAAGATTTAGGCTCACGGACACTGAGTGTTGGTGCTCATTACCGAAACAGCTCTTGCTCTGCAATGCATGTGTACAGTCAGACGTGTGGTGGACATATTCAAAGCTTCTCATGTAAATAAAGGGAAATAAAAGCAGACTGAATAGCAAGATGCCTGAAAGCAGGTCTTGGGAATCCTTCAGAGTCTAGGCAGCAGGGCCAGGGTGTGAATTACTGGGAGGTTTGGTGGGAATTGACCCCCCTTCATTAATGCTTGATCCCCCCCTGAAGGACGTCAAAACAAGGAGTATGGGGACCATGTCTTTAAATAGTGAGAAAAGTTTACTCTGATCTGTATCTTAAATTATAATAATAATAAATAAATGACTTAATAGATCAAATAAATATACATGTGTCCACCCTGTTAATGGTTCATATCATTCTGAATGCATAATCACGCCAGTCAGCCTGTACACGAGGAACACATTCATTCAAACTGCCTCATATTGTAGTGTTGTAGTAAATACTGCAGTATACTTTAGAGTTTACTACAGTAAACTTTGGTGCATTGTAGTATAATAAACCCTATAGTTGTAGAACACTACAGTACTGACTAATCTGTTTATATAGCTATAGTTCTTTTGTTAGCATAACAACTGTAGAATCACCACAACAGATCAGTAACTAAAGTTGTTGTGTTACCATAGCAACTGTAGAATCACCACAATCAATTATTGCTATAGTTGTTGTTACCATAGCAACTCTACAATCACCACAACAGATTAACTCTGTAGTTATTGTTACCATAGCAACTGTAGAATCACCACAGAAGACTAATTACCATAGTTGTTGTGTTACCATAGCAACTGTAGAATCACCACAGCAGATTAATTACCATAGTTGTTGTGTTACCATAGCAACTGTAAAATCACCACAGCAGATTAATTACTATAGTAGTTGTGTCACCATAGCAACTGTAAAATCACCACAGCAGATTAATTACTATAGTAGTTGTGTTACCATAGCAACTGTAGAATCACCACAGCAGATTAATTACCATAGTTGTTGTGTTACCATAGCAACCGTAGAATCACCACAGCAGATTAATTGAAGTATAAAGCACTGTAGTGTTTACTAATGAAATCTGAAATCAAACATGGCAGAAAAGAGTTTACCTCAGCACTGCTGAATAGTGCCAGTGTAGCACTATAGTATGTAATGTAGGTTACTGTAGTACATGGAGTGGACATATTCAAAGTTTCTCATGTAAATAAAGGGAAATAAAAGCAGTCTGAACAACAAGATGACTGAAAGCAAGTCTTGAGAATCCCTCTGAGTCTTGGCAGCAGGGTGTTAATAGCTTCCCATTTATAGGAATGTGTACTGTTCAGATCCTCATTTGCAGTGGTCATGAGTGTCCGCATGCCAGACGCTTTCAACCACAACGGATCTCGCAATCATCTGCCGGAGCAGAATGAGGAAGACTGAGAGTGTTGGCGATTCAGAGAAATGTGCTGAGTAAAGGGGCATCTTCTGCAGCACGCGCGGGACCGCTTAACCCACAGTCAGGCGCATTCTGCTGTGTGGCTTACTTATTATTTCACAAGACAGAATTTCCCATGCATTAATACAGCAGGTCAATCTTCAATCAGTCGAGACTCACAAACATTACAATTCTGTCATCATGTACTCACCCCTGATTTACTACAGTGCAGTTTTCTGTGTTCTGTTGGACACAATGTTGAAGACCTGTAACCATTGATTACCATAGTATTTGTTTTTCCTACTATGGAAGTCAATGGTTACAGGTTTCCAACATTCTTCAAAGTATCTCAAAATTGGGTTACATTTTATTTTATTGGGCTGCACAGTGGCACAGTGTAGCACAATCCCCTCACAGCAAGAAGGTCTCTGGTTTGAGTCCCGGCTGGGTCAGTTGGTGTTTCTGTGTGGAGTTTGCATGTTCTCCCCGTGTTGGTGTGGGTTTCCTCCGGGTGCTCCGGTTTCCCCCATAGTCCAAACACATGCGCTATAGGGGAACTGATCAACTACACTGGCCGTAGTGTATGAGTGTGTGTGTAAATGCAAGAGTGTATTAGTGTTTCCCAGTGATGGGTTGCAGCTAGAAGGGCATCTGATGTGTAAAACATATGCCGGACAAGTGGGCGGTTCATTCCACTGTGGCGACCCCAGAATAATAAAGGGACTAGCTGAAAATTAAATGAATGAATGTTTTTATTTTAATGTACAATTTATGCTGATAACAAGCCATTAACGAAGACTTTAATAACTAATAATCAGCTGCTTATTAATAGTTAATAAAGCAGTGGTTAGGTATGGGTTTTAGGGATGTAAAATAAAATAATTTGCGCTAATTAACTTTATCTTAATAGCGGGCAGGTAATAAGACAGCAGTAAAAGATGTGCATTGTTACTTAAACTAAAGTGTAACCTTGAACTGGAGGTTAAGGAAGAGTGAATGATGGCAGAGATGTCATTTTTGGGTGAACTGTCCCTTTAAAGCCCCAATATACTTAATTTCAACATGTAGATTAACTATCGTGAGGTCGTTTCTTAAGACTAACTTTGTATTTATGTGTGTGTGTGTGTGTGTGTGTGTGTGTGTGTGTGTTAATAGTTTATTGAACAGTTTGCCATTTAAGGTTCTGGTTGAGTGAACGCCTCTGCACTCCCATTGGTGCATAGTGATGATGTCATATATGGGTGTGGCTCTGAGGCTCCGCCTTCTCCAATTTGTTTATTTCCTCTGTGAAAACAGAACTGCTCCATGATAGAAACGCATGTCGAATCAGAAATAATGCTGACGCTGCTTATATACAATCCACCGTATTCATTCATTCATTTTCCTTAGTCCCTCGTTTATCAGGAGTCACCACAGAGGAATGAACCGGCAACTATTCCAGCATATGCTGTACACAGCGGATGCCCTTCTACTACTAGGAAACACCCATTCACACACTCACTCATACACTACGGCCAGTGTAGTTGATCAGTTCCTCTATAGCGCATGTGTTTGGACTGTGGGGGAAACCGGAGCACCTGGAGGAAACCCACACCAACACAGGGAGAACATGCAAACTCCACACAGAAACACCAACTGACCCAGCTGAGACTCGAACCAGTGACCTGAGTGCTGTGAGACTACAGTGCTAACCACTGCGCCACCGTGCCACTCCAATAAATGATATATTTGACACCGTGTATGAAAACATCATCAGATCGCACACAGATTGAACAGAGAGTGTGTGTAATGTCTGTGTTGTAGACGTTAGTGCTAGTAGACTATAGTAGTGGCATTATTGAGGACGCAGCGCAGCAGATGGATAGTAAATATACTCATAAGCTCATGTCAACACAGCGATTATCAGTGTTTTACTGGAGTCATTAAACCACCCC